TCTCACTGAAGAGCCCCAGGCAAGGAACAGGACCCTTTTGTGCTATGGGCTGTGCATACCCAGATCAAAACGGTGATCCTTGACCCTAAGAAATTAAGCATTGCAAATGCATGCATATTGCTAGCTAAAATATGACTCCTTCCAGACTTGCAACCAGCTGAACTGTAATTTCTGACATGAGACCTCATTCATATTTAGGACAGAGGCATAGTGAATAAACTCAACAGAGCTGAAGAGATGGACTTAATTAATAGATTATCATTCTTTTAATTGAAAGAGCTGGTGATTTGGTCCCAAGTGGACAAACAAGGTTTTGGTGCTTGGGTATCACGATGATGATTTGTTCCTTTTACCAGAGGGAAGCATTTGTCCTGCTGCTCATCACATTCAGCTTTCCATTTCTTTTAAATTAACTATTAGCTCGTGATGCTGGCACGTATAGCTTAGAACATAATTAGGATGTTCTTTTTCTTCTTTTTTTTTTCTTCTCCTTTTTATAACATTTACAGAGCATTGCATTTTTTAATTGTCCACTACTGACTATGGCAATAATCCCCTCCAAGAGAACAAATAATTAAAAAGCAATGTAATAAGAGAACTGCTGCGTCTACCAGTTACGATGGAAACATTTTGAATCATCTGTTTCCCCAAATGTATTCAATCCGTAACTTATTAAAGATCAGCACAGACCCTTTCTTAGCCACTCCAAATGAAAATGACAAAACTTAACATTTGTAGCAGCTGCCGTAGAAATGCTGCATTCCATCACCCTAATGTGAGTTTAGGAAAAGACAAAAATAATTTGCTCTGCTGCTAGGAGCCATTATAAATGAGGAAGATTACCTTTGGCTCCTGTCAGAAGTGTGAGTATTTTGGATTAGGATAGAATGTCATGGGCACCGTGCAGAATTTGACAGTGGCCAGTCACAAATAATTAACGTTACCATGGCATTGCCCATATGATGCCATAGTGAAGTTAATTATATATGCAGTGGCAACACGGTAGCGATCTTGAAGATAGCTGCTGTGGAAAAAATATTGGTTAGGAATTAAAAGAAATTTGGGAGCAAACCTCTTTAAAAAAAAAATTCCAAAACATGGTTGCAGCTTAGCAATAAAAACAAAATCAAGAAGATTTGACTTTCTAGTTTTTCTTTTACTGAATAAAAGACAATAATTTGCTTGATGTAGGATAGTGAGCTTGTAGGCTGTATTACTGAAGCCCTGAGTTATGGGGACTACATCATCTGCCGGAGCCCTTGAAGCTGGCAGCCCTGGGTGGATCCTGCCATCCCAGGACTGTCTTCAGCAAGAAGAGGGGGAGAGCACTGCCCCTGCGATCTGCTCCTCTCATAGCTGTCCCAGATGATAAAGAAGCCAGGTGAGGACTTGAAAAAGGACAAACTGTGAGCATTGGCAGCCGGCAGATCTGGCAACAAACTGAGGTGGCCTTGGAGGGGACATCCAGCTGTCAAGCCGGTGTCAGCATCCTGTGCGACTGGAAAGATCACAAATACTTCTTGGCAAAAGGGCCGCAAACTGACTGTGCAGCTGGGGACGTTTCCAGTTCCATTTCTTTGTAGGCACAGCTTCACAACTCTGGAGTGACCCTGTATGTTTAGCTGGCCTTAGTCAACCTGATCTTTCAAGCTTCTTTCCCATCCCTTCCCTCCCTCTTCATAGCTTGTCAGTATATTCATCACATTACAAAGATGGGAAGTCTGAATGCATCAAGCTTTGGTGCCTGCTCTCTTCCTTCTTTTATCTTGCATTCTTTAATGTTTGCGAGTCTCTGTGTTGTCTGTGATGGGAGAACATCCATTACTGTAATATGGAGCAGAGACCCGCACTCATACTTCACTGTTGGAATTAGCATTGCACGGTTTCTGGTAAGAAAAAGGACCTGGGAGCAAATGCAGTGCTGGGTTGTATTAGGGCTCATTTTTGATGGCTTTGGGTTTCTTTTTCACTTTCTTTCATTTTCATTCTGCAGTGTGGCTGCTTGCTCTGTCTGCTGTACCATCTTCCCAGTTGGCTTTTTCCAGTGTTAAAAATGATGCTGTATTCTCCTATTCTGTACTTGTAGTTCCTGATCATTTTTGATCCGTCTCTTCACTGCGTTATATCTGTACATGTTAAATCTCCTTTCCTTAACTCACTCATCTCTCTGGCATTTTTAGTTGCTGCTATGCTTTCTCTTCTGAAACATTCTCCATTCCATTCCCTTATGTCATGTTCTTGTTTTATTGAACACCCCAGTTTAGTCATTTTATTAGTCAATATATGATAATGGTGGGAGCAGCAATGATCTGGGTCCAATTTTGCCATTGTTCCATAAATCAGAACTATAACCCACTTGTGATGGACCCTTTTGGGGGTATATTGACAACTGGTAATGGTACTAAGTTGTGGCTTCTTGCTTTGTGGTACTTGGTCTAGATGGCATGTCTTCAGTGCTGTCCAGCAGCCTTGCAACTCAGACACTGCTCTGAATCCAGACTGTTGCAGTGTTTACAAAGCTGCTCACAAAGCTATAGCCTTGAACCAAAACTTATTCCCCATAGCTGATTGAGGAGTACTAATTTGCTGATACACAGTATGAGTGTTAAAAAATCCCCCTTTATAGGCTCTGAGCAGGTGAACTGGTGTGCTCCTAGGGTATCAGTTCCAGCTCTCAGAGGAGTCACTTACAGAGCAGTAGATGCTGCCTGAATTCATACCAGAGTAGAACTCTGGGCAGCCCATATGAAGTAAGTAAGGTAGGCCCATGTTCCTTCTTCCTTTCTTGTGTGGGTGTGTAACTCAGGTCAAAATCATATTTCTGGGGAAGAGAAGATCATCAACTGGCATTCTGCGTGCACCAAGTCTGGTTGACGTCAGTGAAGCTCTGCCTGTTTCTGCTAGCACTGATTTTGACCCATTTTATTCAGTGTATGTTATATATCTTGGTACAAATGATGAAGCAGTGGCTTGACACAATCAGTGATTCATAGTGGCAGACATCTCTGCAGTCCTCAGAGGATGTTTAGATCTTTCCAGAGGCATGCTTCACTGAGGAACCACCTTGTTTTCAGCCCACAGTCATCTGGAAATGGCCAGCTGGAGCTGGGAGGTTCAGGCATTCCCTCTGGGCACTGAAAATCCCAACACCTACTTGTGAGCATGCTTTGTCTTAGTTGTACATTAAAGGAGAGCACAGATGATCTCTAGTATCCTGTACTATGGGGGTAGTAAGTACCAAATGCTGTGTAGCTCTTGTGCCAGAAATGTGCCATACGGTGTGAACATGTAGAAGCAGCAATTGCTCCTGTGGATCACTGTGTTATCGAGCTCAGCCCTGCATAACTGTGCTGGTTTTTCTTTTTCCTTAAAATTGCTCAAAAAACATCTGTGCAACAAGCAGCACTGTTATGGTTTTCTTTGTTCATCTCCTTTGTAGGCATATTACTTCTGCAGATCCGGTTGCTGTTGTTATAGTGGTATTATTGTGGTTGTGTGTTGTATGGCATGCTGTTGTGATGAAGTGTCATTCTGTTTTTTCCCCCCAAATAATGGTACTTCAAGCTTGCTTCATTTGCTTTTGTAGGACATCGACTTTTCAGCAGACAAAGCCAAAACTGAGCGTGTAAAGTGAACAGCACCAAAATATCCATGGGCTTCCAATCCAGTCACAGCCCAGCAAGGCAAAGAGCAAGCTCAGGCCCAGATGCCAGCTTCAGTTCTTAGCCCTGCAGAAGCTTTGATCAAAATACTTTGTATTTCCAGTTTAATTTTCTTTCCTCTGCTGAAAGAAGAACAGTAGCTGTTACTACATACCACTGCTTCTATATAGAGTATTATTTGCATATTGCTGTTAAATATTAAGCAGTCTTATATATTTTATAAAGCACCGATACAGCACTTTGAAGAAGAAAATTAAATGATAATGATGTTCTGTTTATATACTTTTTTGTTCTCTCCATTTTTTTTTTTTTCATGTGAAGTAGAAAACAAGTGCTTGCTGTCTATTTGCAGTTTTCACTTTTGATCTTGATTTTGTTTTTCATTCATAAGTAGCCCCTTGTTTTCTGACCTGGTGTCGTTGAAGAATCAAAGTGTTGTTTTTCCAGTTCTTTATCCAACTTCACACCAAAAGCACTGTGGATTTGGACTCCACCCTGTACCCAGACACTCTTCAGCATGAAAGAAAAGCAAATCTGTCTTTTAATAAGATGAAACCGAGTTAAGTAAACATCAGATTTGAATTGCCTGCTCTCTCTGGAGCTGTAGATTCACATCTTGGCTAAATAACTCCTAGCCCTTCATCCATTTGAAATGGAGATCTTGAGCAGCTTACAGCTTGTGGATCTTTTGAATAAGATCTGAAAAGCATGGTATCTCGTTTGCTATGCACAGCCAGTGGGGATGCATGATATTTTGCCACAGTTACCTGGCAAAAATGCTTTTCTCTTTCCTGATCACACGGTGCCCTACTTGTCTGCAGGACTTGCGTTTTCTGCTTTGCAGAGGCACCTCTGTTACTGGGGCTGTGCTTGTAAGACACTTGAAGGCGTTTGGAATGATGTTGTTTTCTCTTTGTTGTATTGTCAATGATGATACATCCATTTGATGTTAGTTCAAAGCTAACTGAAGCCACTGAAACTTTTCAGTAACTGAGGGGACTGGATCATCTCGCCATGCAGAGGGAGAACTTGCGGTGAGAATGCGCTGTGTGTTAATTCCACAGGGGAAAAAAATCAAGTGAAAGCGCTCTTTTTTTTTTCCCAACAAAAAAAAGAAAATATGTAATTTGTCCCATGAAAGATAGACCAAGGGCAGTCTCCATTAGTATGCATTAGCATTTCCCATTCAGCACTTTCCTTGAGCATACAGGTCAAAGGAGAATGAATGGTGTGCATGACCTACATCCTTCAAAGATAGGGCAGAGTATTATTTTCCTAAGGGCAGCAAGGTCTGTCCTCTGACTGTCCTCTGAGGGACTTTATTTCTCATGTTCACAGAATCGACGACTGTTTTTGTGCATCTCGGAAACTGGATGCAGTTGCCACTGAAGCGAAGTTCAAGCAGGACCTGGGCTTCCGGATGCTCAACTGTGGCCGAACGGATCTGGTTAAACAGGCCATAGCCTTGCTAGGGCCGGATGGGATTAACAGCATGAGTGAACAGGTAACAAGACAGAAATGTAAAGAGGAAATGAAACATGAGAGTTTTTTTCTGTTTATCAAAGCAAATGAACCCAAATGTCAACTAAATGTAGGTAGGACCTTAATGCTTTCCCTGCGTTATTTTGCAATGAGTTAAAGCCTCACTAGGTGAACAACTAAAGTAAGTTTGGTCATATCAGGTCATAGTGATTATTTAGAATTTAGGTAACTCAGAGTGAGGGTGAATGTCTCCTGGAATCTTCTTAACAGAAAAGTGAATCAATTGAAGCCAGGAGATCAGAAGAGAGCTTAGTCTTGCTCTGAATACTTAAAGCGGTTTTAATGTGGGACAGAGCTTTGTGAGGTGGACATCTTCCAAGAGAAACTGCCCTGGGATTTGCAACACATTTCATGTACACCACCCCAGCAGGAGAAGGTTAATCGCTGGCACTCTGAGTTGAGCCCTGTTTGAACTGGTCTTCTAGATGTGAAAGCCTCTCTGCAACGTTACCACTCCATTAGTCTTTGGCCAATATCCACCTACAGAAGAACCTAGATTTCTCTGGAGTTACTCTCCATGAGGCCAGTGGTTGTGTTGAGGGATAAACCTGCCTCTGCAATTGCCTGCTGGCAGCAGTCTGTTGGACTGTGATGCTGGGGAGGTCATTCCCCATTCCCGTGAGGGCAACGATGGATACAGATATTATGGTTTCCTTTTGAAGGGAATTTCCCTGAATCTTCTGATGCCCCCAGATGAAAGTCATGGTAGGGTTGTGAATTTTGTTCCTCTGAAAAGAAAGCTGCTCCAGAGTTCAGGAGCTTCAGTTTAGGTCAGTATTGTGGATTTGTTTGAGAGAAGCTTTAGAAGAGGGCAGTACTCTCTGCAAAAAATATTGTGTTAGAGAGCCCATTCTAATGTTCAAACATTATGCTTAAAAAAAAATCACTATTATTTTAACATAGTCTGAATCTGGAAACTTTTTGCAGCATATTTCCTCTGTCCTCCAGGCTGAAAGCTGGAAACATTCTGCCTTGATAAATCAAAGTTCTTAATCACATGCTTAACTCTGAACACATGCTTACATCCCATTTGAGTGAAAGTTTTCTTACATGCTTCCCTGAAGCAGATATCCCACATCTTGCAGGACAGAGCCGGAAGTTATACAAGGCTGAAAGAAAAAGAGTCATTTTTATTTTGCCAAAACCCTAATGTGCCCTAGTGTTGATTTTTCATGTTGTTACTGTGTCCCTATGTACATAGAGTGGTAATGATGGGCTCATTAAAATCCCATTCCTCCCACGTGCAAAGAGAGGGGTTTGAGGGGTGCTGAAAGGCTGAGCTGCAGATCAAGGCTGGAGATAGGCAGAAGGGACAGCAGTGCAAGGGGAGCGGAGTTTGGAAACACTGTAAAACCCTGGTACCACAGCATGACATTCAGGGCCCCTTTTTGTCAATGGTAAGCCTCATCAGTTTCAGTGGGTCCAGAAGCCATATGTGGCACACAGGAGTTGCCATGGGGCTCCTGGCTGTGCAAATGCGGGGTCATGCAGGTTTTCAAAGTCGTGTGCTAAATGCTTGATTTAATCATTGACTGACACCATTTAGAGAATTTGAAATAATAATTTAAGTCACCTTAATTTTAATCCACCAACCAGTCGCTGTGTTTCAAGGCTCAAGCACTTTTTTTTGTAGTTCTGGTGGACTCATTTTCTCTGGTACTGTTTATTAGCTACCAAAAGAAGTATTTTGCCACTGATTGTAGCTGAAGTTGTTTCAAATTCTCCTTGCAAATAACTTCAAGTCACCCACACCTGTCCTTGCCTGGGATGAAGTCGTTTCTTAATAACAGCAGGAGGCCCAAATTTCTTGTTCCCTTTTGCTGTACCTCCAAAAGCGTTCTGCTCCTTGCGTTTAAAGGGAACTGTGTCTACCTTGCAGAAACAAACCGTAAGTTTTATTTTCTCTACAATCCTTCCACATGCCAGTGCCTGCTACCTTCAACCCAGTGTGCAAGCAGGAAGAATGGGTAGTTCAGCAAAAGCAATGGTATTGGGCTCTGGACAGGAAGAGCAGTGGCATGGCTCTGTGTCTGGCCATGCTGGGCACCTCCTGTGCCTCTGAAAATAATTTCACTTTGTGGCAGCACTCAGATTAAACAGTGAACCTGCTGCCAGCTGACTGGAATTTTACCAGAGAACCTTGAGGGAGGCTATAAACACACATCAGAGGTAGCCACATGCTGCAGTAAATGTAGTGCAAAACAACTGGTGGCTGTTGGTCAACATCACCTACTGTATTTAAAAAGCAGCCTTTTCTATTATAATTTATGGTAGATTTAATGATTTTTTCATCGTTTCATCTAGATGCATTACCACAACCATAATAATACTTATCTCAAGGGAAATGGTGACCAGGTGCTGTAGGTATTTTAGACTAATACAAATTGTGTTCTATAGTGAGAGGTCAGTTAATCTAGTTCTCCTCCAAACAGGGACATGCTTTCCTAGAGACAGCAGCTGTTTAGCATTTCATTTAAAGTTAAGTCTTTGTTTACCAGAGAGTGCAATACAAAGCATTTGCATCTCCAGCCTCTTATGGTATCCATATGGAAAAAACTTGCCCAAATTTACTTTGTCATAAGAGGAGCTTTGTATGTTTTTAAAGGCTCTGTCAGTAATTGAAAAGTTAGATTTTAAGAAACAGTGATCATAGAAAACTGAATAAGAGTATCATTTTTTAAAACTATCAGTGGGTGTATGGTTGTTTTGATAAGAACATTTCTCCGTGGGGTCCCACAGAAAAGGCAAAGATGCTGAGTTTTGTACATAAACATGGAGGTGAGGCTTACAGATGCTATTTCAGTGGCTATATTGAGAATGTCAAGGGTAAAGGGGAAGCAAAACAGCCAAATTGACAATGAAAATGGAGATTTTACAAAATGGTTCGCTTTTGTTAGTCTGAGGGGCATGACTGTAACAGAGGTAATGGATTTCATTAAATACATACTGTTAGTTTTAATGATACATACTTAACTAATTATTTTTAAAAAATCAGAAGAGTTCTGTGTTAAATTTGTCAATTCCTTTGTTTTTTAACTCCAAAAAATGACTAGGGCATGACTCCACTGATGTATGCTTGTGTCAGGGGTGATGAGGCTATGGTGCAGATGCTGCTAGATGCTGGAGCAGATCTGAATGCTGAGGTGAGGACTTTTTGTTGGTTGTATCTTTGTTCTGTTGTTTGTTGACATCTTAAACTACCCCCTGAAACAGTAGCAGAGAGAAAATCCCAAGAAATAGAGATAAAATTATCTTTTCCTAGACAACACCATTTGAAATGTGTGAAATCAGACTGCACTAGGTTAACATTTGGATTCACTTTTCAGAAAGGGTCAAGTCATCGGACTTACCCCACAGGTAATTAGACAGTTGTATTTACATACTGCAAATGAAAATGGGCATTAGCATTAGCACAGAGCACAGCTCTGATAGTAATGGAAGACATCCCTGAATCTCAGCTGAGTAACAATGAAGAGGGTAATAGAAATGTCTGTCTGATAGCTTGGTACAGCTTGTGCGTTTGTATGTCTTGGGATGTTCCATCTAAGCATCCCCAGCACACAAGTGCAGTGTCCCCTGCTTTGTTTTATGAAATGCTTTGGTCTGAAAACTGAGGAGCTTGAAGCTTCCAGAATATTAATGTCTCTTTGATGAATGCACATCAAAAACTTACAATCTGTCCACCAAACAGATTGTGGTCCGGCTCAATGCAATGCAGGTATGTACATTTTTTAAAAAGCTGTTTGAAAATCCACAAGAGAATTATTTGTTAATGGTTCCAGTTTCAATTTGTGGAGGTCATGAGTAAATTAAGCTGTCTGCTTCACTTATCTGTGTTCCATCTGTTCTGTTTGGATTTGAATGAGCTGATAAATTGTAGGTGCTGCTTTCAGCCAGACATTTTGCACTTCTAAAACATTGAATTTAAAAGCAGAAATAGATGTCACCTGTACGTGACTGATAGCTGTTACTATCTTATTGCTCTTTGGTGTCTTGTGTGAAATCAGCTGATGATTCCTCATGGAGTCCACTCTCACCTCTTCCTTCCCACAATTCAAGTGAGCTGCCCTCGGATCCAGCGATAACTGAGCATTTGAACCCTTGTTTGCACTGTAGACAGACAGACCAAAGAATGGATGAGCATGGGCTGATCTCTCCTGCTGCTTTGATCCCACAGCTCAGAGCATTATTTAGTTATCACTAGGAGCAGAAATCCTGGCCCTTCCAATTGGGCCAGTAATCTTCCAGACTTGAACCAAATGTAAATTTAAACAGTTTTGTCTTCCTGAAACTGCTGACATCTGAAAGAACAGCTCCAGTGAGAAATTTGAACCTCCCTGATTCATTTCTGTAGAGTGTTTGCTCTCAAATCAAATGAAAACACTTTGGGACAAGAACTATGAGTAATTATGGTGTGCAATTAGAAGATGATTTGTGCACACCACAACCAACTGTGCAAATTGGGCAATTACGGCAAAAAAAGGCAAATCAACCATGAACAAAAATAAATACCCTGTCAGGTGCCTGCATCATTTTTCTTATTTCACTTTGCAAATCAGTTATATATATATGTATTTCCAAAAGTAGCCTCAAATGCTGGGTGCCTCCATTCTTGATTGCCCGTGTTTATCAAAAATGGACTCATCTCCAGATGTGCTGAGAAGCTGCAATCCACTTTGGAGTCAGTGGGACCTGTAGATGCACAGCAAATCTCAGTTGAGGTTTTAAAAGCTCTACCACCCACAGGTCTTTTGCAAACATCATGTCAACTGTAGAGAATTGCAATCAAAAGGGGCAAAGGAGTTAAAATGACTTCATTTTCTTTGCCGCTTGCCACAGGCTGCCCCAGACAGCAGTGGGAATTCATGCTGGAGGAGGAGATGCTGGACACTTACCTTCCCCTGCTGCTCTTACCCCCCAGCCTAAATCCTTAGACTCAAACTGCTTGATCCTCTTCCTCCTGAGCAAACCCAGACCTGAAGAATCCCTGCACCTTTGCTCAGACACCAGCAGGCTTCTCCACTTCCACCAGGGTTGCAATGTGCTGGTCTCTACTGAACTGTAGAAGAGAGAAGGGCACTTCAACCCCCTCTCTTTGGCAAATCTGAGTGATGCAACCAGGCTCTGGTGCAGATCCACTTTAATTGTGGGATCTGTACAGACTCTTCAGATTTTGTCCTCATCCCTTGTTCTCAGGATCGAGGGCTTGGTTTGATGCTTCTAACAGAATGCTGCATGTGGTGCTTGGAAATGTGATTTCTCATGCAACTAAGCATTTAATAACTAGCCTTGCTCCCCTACATGGATAAAAGTATGTCAGACAAGTTAGTGAAAGCATAGTTGGCTGATAAGACAGAGGTGAAGCATCTTTTACTCTTGATTTTAGTTCCCATTCTAAGATGAATAACAAGATTTTGAATTTTAGTATCATACTCCATCTGAGTGTGCAAGCTCAGATTGCAAATGTTCATTAGATATTTCCATCTCTGTGAACCTCATCAATATTAATATCCCCATCTTTAAGACAGGGAAACTGAAGCAGAGAGTGGTTATTCATCTTTCCTACATTACTACATTAGAGGAAGCAGGAACAAAACCTTAGAAAATGGAAGAAGCAATGTAAAAAAATGCCACTTTTTCTGAGAATACAGTTTGCATCTCTTTTATCTGAAGCCACCCTGCTCTGTTCTAACTCAATTCAGACAGGAGAAAGCAATAAAAAAGACTTTTCTTAAAATATCTGTGAAATGTCACTCTGCCCCATCAGTTCTCAGCTGCCATTTGCCCTCCAGTGGAAGAGGAGGAGCCTGGAAGCACTTCTGGAAAACTCCAGGGCAGGGACTGTGATTTGTCTTCCTTGATGTCAATGACAGAAGTCATACCAGTTTATGTGGAGAGAATTCCTTTGGGCCTGAAGCAATCCCAAGAGCTGGGGCTGTCAATACACAGTCTGCAGAAGTCAGTGGGAGTGGTCCTTAGCCATAAGCATCCTGATTCATCCCTGCTCCCCTAGCGTGTGCTGCTGTAAACAACTGTGGATGTTTTGACCTTGTGCAAAAGTGGTGGCCAGTGGTTTAGATGGAGCTACAGTAGTTGGTAAAAAGACTTCATTTGGTATAACGCTATTCAAGCTGTCAAATCAGCATGAACAGTTTTAGTATTAAGAAATTTTTTTGCTGGAAAAAAAATGAAACCAATCATTTTCTAAAGCACCTTTCCCAGGTTTTCTATTTCACTTACTCCCTCACGTGCCTGGCTTTCAGGCAGGTTGATTTTATTACACTTTTTAAAAAATAACTTTAATTTGTTTGTAGGTTGTCAGTACTGCTCATAAATACCCATCCGTCCACCCTGAGACCCGCCATTGGACAGCTCTGACATTTGCTGTGTTGCATGGACATATTCCTGTAGTTCAGGTATTATTGTATTTCCCTACCTGCATCTCATTCTTTTTTTTCTCCTCTTTAGTTCCAATTACACCCATCTCAAACCAGTATCCTCTTGTCATACTCATATTGGTTACTTCTGCTTCTTCGAGAGTGTACTGATATATAATAGACCTATTATATAACAAATACGGTGTTCAAACCTTAACCAATATGAGGTTTAAATAGGACAATTTTAAAGCAAACTTGCACCAAAGAAAGTCTGACAACTCCTTGTGCTCCTTCCTGACCACTTGTTTTGTGTGTTTGTCTATTCATTCATTACACTTTCTTACTCTCTAATACTCTTAACAAATACCAGACAGCTGCCTTGGTGGGGAGAGGCAGACAGCCACAGCCATCGCTCTGTCCCAAAGGGGGAGAAGCTCTCAGTCTCCTTACCCGAGCAAGGCAAGGCGTTGCGTGGGATATGCTAGTTCTCTGCTTTGGCATCTTAAAGTCACGAAGGTTTATTCTTCAAAACAGCTGTGTCTGTGGCACATGTAACGAAGCTTTGTTAAAACTTTGAAAGCCTAAAGACATAAATGGCCAAGAGCGGCTAGAGGGCAGGCTCTATCCTGCTCTCCTTGGCCACTTTTGTTCTCAGCGTTGTCACTATTCATGTGGATGTGTACCCGATGGAAACCACAGCTTTTGGATTCATTGCTGCGATTTGTTCTTAATGATTGCCTTTCTTTGGCCATGTCTTTATAAAAAGATGGAGGCAATTGAAATCTGTTCCATTTTAAGTTGGTCCTCGGCTTCTAGAAGACCACAAAGGAAGGATGCTTGTTGGGCTGATATTCAGTATTTCCATCTTCAGTGCATTACTTCCTGACACCGACCTTATTCGCATTTCCCATTCAAAAACACTGGGTTACACTTTTTTGGCTCTGAGCTTGGACACCAGTGCTCCTGGTGTCTGGCAATGTAAAACGAGCGAAAAAAGGAATCAATTTGCCTCTGTAAAATAATGGGCAGAACTTGCATGTCACTTGTCTCCATTGTATCTGGTTTGCAGATAATGAGAAGCATTAGACTCTCATTCGTCACTGTTCATGAACTCTTGAACACTGTGGCACCCCCAGTTGCTCTAAATGGTGAATTTTCTTTCTAGTTGTTGTTGGATGCTGGAGCAAAAGTAGAAGGTTCCTTGGAGCATGGAGAGGAAAACTACTCTGAAACTCCTTTACAGTTAGCAGCAGCTGCCGGTAAGGACTTTCTCCTCCCTCTGTTATAAATTCTTCAGTTGAGATCTGTGATTTAGATGAGCAAGCAGTGGGTTTTAAAAGAAGTAAAAGTGCCTCTCTTGAATTGCAGGAAATTTCGAACTGGTCAGTTTGCTGTTGGAGCGAGGAGCTGACCCTATGATAGGAACAATGTACAGGAATGGCATTTCCATGACTCCACAAGGTGACATGAACTCTTTCAGTCAGGCTGCTGCGCATGGACACAGGTAGAGTGGGAACAAGTCTAGTGGCATCCCTCACATGGTTGTTTTTTTCCTGGGAGACTGGTTTGAGCAGATGGGTGAAAGTTCTGCATGAACAATCAAACAAGCCACCAACTGAACAGATGTAAGGCTTTTTGCTAGCATGTGAATTTAACCAGTTGGTGGTACAACCTGCTCTTTTATATCTGATTGAAAAAAGAGGAAGGATACTCCTTGTGGTGTGTTGCAATGTGATGTTTGTTAAATAGTAGCTGATGTGATGGTGGGAAGGAATGCCAAAGACATTCCTTCTGAATTTCTTGACATATTTCTGAGGTTTGGGTTGAATTGTGACTGTACTGCTGCAGCCTTCACTGTCATCGAACAGAGTTTCTGCATCTGTGTTTACTGTAAAGTCCTGTGTGCTTTAATGTTGTCTGTATGCTGCGATTTTTTTTAAAGGAAGTAATGAAATGAGCACCTGGCATGCATGATCTTGCAATGTTCAGGAGTTTACTGCAGTGTAATGGATTAGTATTATGATCTTCACGTTCCTGCTTTTCTGATTGTAGCCATCCAGAGGAACATAGATACAGGTTAGAGACAGTACCTACCGTCTATTTGCTTAGAGAAGAGCTGCCAGTGTAACAACATGCTCATGGCATGTCAGGGTGGGTTCAAACAACACTGCCCATCTGGAGCCTGCAAGGGATCTCTGGGAGGACAGGCAGGACAATTTTTACATTTATCGCTCAGGCCTTGGTGCCAGCTCCTCTGAGTGGGAGCCACATGCCTGAGGAGAGCTTGAAGCTCTCCAAGGCTTGGTTGCTGCCTGTTCACGTCACAGACCCACAACTTATTTCTAAGAACTGGCTCTTAAACTCCAACTTCTACACTACCCACACTGGCTCCCTTCTCTTTCCCTCTCTCCCCAAACTAGCATTTGTTTGGTACGCCCCATGGCCTGCTGCCACCCCATGCCAGGTTCCAAGCAGGTGTGGGGAGGATGTCGGAGTATGATGGAGGTGGGATGGTGGCCAGCTTGGCTTTTCTTATAGTTGTGGAAACCAAGAGCAACTCCTTGATGAGTTTATGCTGGTATGAACCTGAAGGTACCAAGTGTTTGGCTGAATTTGGTCTTTGGTGTGTCATGGCCCGGATTTGATCGCCCAGCCAGAGCAGTCCCTGATGTGCTTGAACCTGCCCTGGCTGGCCTTGTTGAATGTCTAGTTGCTCTAGCTTTCCCAAACTGCTTTGAGTGTTAATCGAGTGGTGGTGCTTTCAGTAGCTCCAGACAGCTCCCTTCTCAAGTGGCCTTCTTCTCCTTCCTTGGTGAAAGTCTTGAGAGCTTGTCCTAAGGCAGTTCAACCTTAACCTGATGGTGGGGCAGGTTCTAGAAGTCATGAGACACGTGAGAGTCACGTTTAGCTCATGGGTTTGTGTTCCCACAAAGTTCCTGCCATTTGTTTGACGTCTGTACAGTTGCTGTCATTACAGCAGTGTCTTGCACTCATGGTCTGGGTTAACAGGTGGGCTATCAGGAGTGGTGCTTGCTCTAGGACTGCTGTAAACTATTCAGTTAATTGGAGTAATTTCTGACCTGCCTGCTGGATAGGTGTCCCGCACCAAGTATCATCACCACTAACTACTCTCCTGTTCTCTCTTTCCCTGTCTCCCTCTCTGTGTCATGCTGTAATTGCCAGGAATGTCTTCCGTAAGCTACTTGCTCAGCCAGAGAAGGAGAAGAGTGATATCCTGTCGCTGGAGGAGATACTGGCAGAGGGGACAGACTTACCTGACTCTGCAGCAGCTCCGCTTTGTGCCAGCCGCAACAGCAAGGCCAAACTGAAAGCCCTGAAGGAGGCCATGTACCACAGTGCTGAGCATGGATATGTGGATGTGACCATTGACATACGGAGTATAGGTCAGTGCAGGTGCCCTTGCTTCTCTGCCTCATCAGAGATACCACTGTAAGAAATGTGTCTTTCATGTGCTGCTGCTTAAACTGACCGCAGCTGCGCCTCCTGAACTTCTGTGGAGGTGGTAATTGCAGGGGGTTTCCCAGCAGGTTTGTGGGTGAGGATGGGGAAGGTAAGTGCAAGCCAGCCCAGGCTTAAAGCCAAGGCTCTCAGAGCTTCTCTGAAGCCAGTTAAGATTGCTGCTGCCTAAGCAACTGCAAAATAGGGCAGCTGCTTTTTATGTCAAATCGTGTGTGCTAAACACACTGTAAGAGCAGTCCCTTATTTTCCATCCTTCATCTGGAACGTGATAGGGGATCCTGCAGGTTCCGGGGCCATTTTGGCTCCACAGCATATCCTGCTCCGCAGGGCAGCATAGTTTTTATCAGCAGCCATCTTCACTCCTGCTTGGCAGAGCGTTAGCTAAGTCTCTAGGGCAGTGTTTGTCTGCTGCTTCCAACAGCTTCTCTTTTGCACTCTGCCATAGTGCAGTCCACAGTTTAAACATCTTTCTTTTCCAAGGTTTATGAGCCTTTGAAGGGAAGAGCAGTGAATGGCTTCTCTGTGTGTTAACTGTGCTAGTATAGGGCTTGAGCATTGTAGCAGCCTGTTTGGAGTCTGCTTCTTCTCATGACAAGAGTGGTCAGGAACAGGGGAGGAAATAAATCTGGAATGTGTTTGTCCATTATTCTGTGTCCAATCTCCATTAATCTTCCCCCAGAGAGAAGGCAGCATGCCTCCTGTGCCTCCATGCAGTGCAGCACTCCAGCCCTGGGGACTCGTGCATGGGTCAGGGTGTGCATTCTTGGTTTGCCAGGTGCACTGGGCAGGCAAAGCTCTAGGTGCTGAACGAGAGGAGAGAACCAGAGCTGCTCTCAAAGTGCCGGGCATTTGCTGAAATGGAAGGAAAGTACTTCTGATGCCAAGCCCCGGGCTTGTGTTTCCTCCCACTCTGTTCTGCAAGAACAGAAACTAGGTCACGTCCAGCCTAATGTTTGGAGTACTATATTAACTTTGTGTGTTTTCTCATTCAGTGCAGGGAAACATTTCCCTTTAAGTTCCTAGAGAGTGGTTCTGCTGTGACAAACAGCTACTTGAAAAGGCTAATCTCCTTAACTCACCCAGTGCTGTTCAGGGGAAATAGCAATGAGCATTAGAGGACATGGGATAGGGCTTACAGAAAATTGTAATCTGAAGACCACCAGTTTGAATACAGGTAGGTAGTGACCAAAATCTTTTTTTTCCAGTCAATGGCTCTCCAGGGCCACATTTGAAGAAATGAGCTCATGTAAATCTAGTTTCCAAAAGGTTTTTGTGTCGCAGAGCACCACAACAATTACCTCAAATTGGCAGTCTCAGCAGAGAAGCTGAGGGCTAGATGAGCAAAGAGACCACAATCTTCCCTTAGCACTTGGAGGAGAGTCTCTGTGTATTAGGTCTGGGACATCTTGATAACCACCCGCCTTCTCAGCTGTGGTAAATAGGAATTCTATTTCTAGGGTTATTTGGCAGTTTTTGCTTAAAATCTGAAGATTAACACAAGTGAAGATAGAAATAGTAGAAGGGCCACATCTTACTCTGGAGCTGGGAGTGAGCTCTGTCCTCTGTCTATAGGTGTTCCCTGGACACTGCACACATGGCTGGAGTCCTTGCGAACATCCTTCCAGCAGCACAGACGACCCCTCATCCAGTGCTTACTGAAGGAATTCAAGTCCATTCAAGAGGAAGAGTACACAGAAGAGCTCATCACACAGGGGTTGCCTCTGATGTTTGAGATACTAAAAGCCAGCAAGGTAGGATAAATTACGTATTCTAAAGAAATCAGCCTCATTCTGATCCTGTACAACAGAAACTGCAATAATGTTTTTGCACTGTGGTCCCAAAGCTTGTTTAGAGCTCTATAGGATTATTATTTTTGTACTGTGTATCTCATTCATCTTTACTGTGGAATCATGGGTTAAAAACACACAGGCTAATTACATCTCCCACTACAACAGCTTAATACTGATGCCAACAATGAACTGAGAAGACAACAGGAGCTAATGCATAGTGGTGAAATTAAAATCACAAGGGTCACTGCAGCACAAAAGCTGCTGATAGCCAAACCAACCCAGAGACAAACTTTACCCAGCTTGTTTTACAGCACCATGCAACAAAGCTAATGCTCACTTTTGCTTTGGATTTATTTAACCTCTCACATTATTTTCTCTTCCCTTCATGTGGGATTATGACTTCTAAACTTATGAGGAGATGGGTTTCCATGAGAACACATGCAGAATGATACGTCAGACGAATAAAACCTTTTGAGGGAGGAAGGTACTGTTAGGTATGTGAGTAAAACAGCAAAGAAGAGACGATCATTGAGCAGGAAGGAGAGTGAAGGTTGTTTTTTTTCTTAGCGTTAGAGTACATGTTGGTACAGTTTCCTATTTGTTAAACTGCAAAGTACCATTTCTCACCCAAAATCCACGCGCAACAGCAAGGAGCAAGTATTTTTAGCACCTACAGCAATAACCTAAATGATGTGAAAAGAAGAGAGCTCTGGTACAGACTCTCAATATTAAAGGATTCCAGGCACAGTATAGTTAGTGAGAGCCTACATGGATTTATTGTATACTGATGCAGATGCGGGCTTGGAGTACAGTCCTGAGCAAGTGCTGAACATTTATCCCACCAATTGTTCTGATTTCTGCTCCCATGAATTTTTCCTTTGGGGATAGTTTGAGGTTGGTTTGTATTGCATGGGTATTTATGGAGAATATTTAGAGATATCTTTCAGAAAATCATTCCAAATCCTCGGATTTGTAGTCTGAACTGCCTTGGGTTAATACATGTTCATCCAATAACTGACAGCAAGGTGCTGTTTGTTTTGAAAGCTGATATAAAACTAATTGTATTGGAAAACGTAATGGAGATTAAGTTTAGGCCCTATAATCTAGAATGAGGGATGGCTTGAGCTGCAGTTCTCCTGTGTGGCTGAAGCCAAAGCCAGTTGGTTTATAGATGATTGTCAGTAGAATAAGTTATTTACATAGGATTGTACCTTTTGGAGATGTTAGTCTGGGTCATCTGAAGTGTCCTCTGGAGACATGGCAGCCAATGAGACTGCTACCTTCTGCTTTGGGTTCACTTAAAAGCTAACATGAAGAGGAGTAAAGCAACGGATATATCACACACACAGAAAAAGTATGATAAAAAAAATCGGTGCTGATCTTCGTTCCTGCCTCTGGACCTAAAGGAGCTGCCCATCTTCACTCTTCGTGAGCATGCATATTCACAACCACATGTGCTTACAGTGCTTCATATTCTTAGAAAAATAATGAATCATTCGGGGATGCTGTAAGGGCTTACAGATTGTCTGCAAATGGCTTGAATTCTTGCCACAGTCTTGCCTAAACGGTCTCCCACAAAGCTCTTAGAGACATAAATGAGGGCAGACTCTGAGCAGCTCTCTAGAAGGAATCAAAATAAATTCATTTGCAGGAGAAGGAGACAATAAAAGTTCTCCCTGGTCACTCCACATAAGTCAGACAAGGAAAACTGAGGTTCAAAGGATCCGCTCCTCTGGGAATGCTGAGAGCAGATAGTGTTCTTTGTATATACCCACAGAACAGAAATCTCCTTGAAGAGGTACAGAAGGGCTGTAGCTGTGGTTCATGGCCCTCTCTTTCTGCAGTGAATTATAAAGTTTTGCATTGTGTGGAGTTGTCAGGAGAGGATTTTGATTTGTCCACGTGGGCATCCTTTTTCCTGTGGGCTGGGAACTTTGAGATTACAACTCTTGCTAGACATCACAGTATGTCCCAACACATTTCCTTAATGAGTTTTTCAGGGCAAAAAGTATGTAATAGGCAACTAGAAAGCACAAAGCCACTTAGTGCTCTCCGGCTGATGTAAAACAAGATGTCCCATTTGCTACATATTGTGATGCTCAGTATATTTTAATTGCATGACAGCTCGTACCTAATTGAAACGGCATTTCGCAGTCCTATAAGTAGTCCCAACTATCCTGCAGTCTCAGAACAATTTACAAATATTAATGAGTTGAGATATGGAAGAAGATCTTAGCCTCCTTTTCTGAACAAGGAAACAAAGGTAATTAAACAGGCAGATTTTCAATGCCTTACAGAGTTGCAATCTCAGCCTCAGAAGCTGTGACAACCTGGCTAAGCCAGACATCAGTTTATAATTTGAGTAATTGGCTTGAGAGACTCTCCAGAAATTGCACAGAAACGTAGATAATATCTCTGAATAGGAAATGGGTCTTCTATCCCAGCTTCCACTTGCAGTGTAGGACAGAATGTTCTTACTGGTTCACAGGATATGAAGAAAGGGCAGGTATTGTAAAAATGAAAAGACTAAGGAAAAAGTACTATTTACAAGGACATGACCAGCTAAAAGGAATGCCTTTTGTCTTACAGATTATTTTTTTTTAATACCCACACCTAGAGGGTCTTAGGGTCCAAATGTGAGAGCTTGGATGGGATCTCTGCCACCACCACTGATGGGAGTGTCCTGGAGCCCAGTAGGTTGGCATTTATATGACAGGACATTGATGATGGAAAGAAAAACAAAAACAATATTTTCTGAAGCTCTGATGCTGGAACACAGAGCGGTAACAAGAATTAGCAAGTCAGGCAAAACTGCCTGAGCTGTAGTTCCTAGAGTTACTGCCTCTCCTAAAGCTGTGAAATAGGAGGGGAAGAACAGTTAATAAATTGCATTTTGGTCAATCACCACTGCACTGAAGCCCTGGGGAAAGACTTCCAAAGGCACAAATGAGGATTTGGTACCCAGCCTCCTGGTGGCTGCCAGTAGGACTGAGCACTTTCATTTCCTTTCATGCCTTTAAATGTTTTTATCAGCTGCTCTGCTCAGAATTGATTTGAGAGTGGAGGAATGAAGTATTTCCATGCAGCTGAGGAAAAGCTACAAGAACAGGCAGATGGCTTTGCCCCCTCTGCTGTCCTGCAATCAGCCCGGATCCTTGCCAAACCAAAGACCAGGCAAGGTGTTCCAGGGGAGGCAGCGGTGATGGAAGGGACTTGGAGAGCCCTGTTTGGGGTACTTCCCTAAGAGAAGGCAAAATTCTGATTTAAAACTTCCAGTGAAGCTGTGTAGTTCACTAAGGGGATTTGGGCCACTGGATGAGGAGGAAAGGCTCTCTTATTTTGGGACTGACTGGCTCTCTGAGGGAGATGAGCTCATGGACAGTCTGCTTAAATTAGTTTGGACAGAGCTGCATGTGACAAAAGCTGGAGAGACTTCTGGGAGCAAGTAGCCCTGAGCTAAACTTGGGCTGCTGTAGAGGGTAGAATTAAGTCCCTCCAAGCTAAGATGACATTGGAGATCTTGTGAAAGAAGAAAACAAGAAGGTGCAACTGATTTGCTGCCTGTCAGTATCTGTGTCACATTCTTCATGGCCTGAGGAATCCCTCCAAACTTCTTACTGGGCCCTCTTGTTTGCCTGTAGCCAAGGCTGATGTTTGCACTGCCTGAGCTTGTCTCTGAGCTGAATTGACATCCTGCCCCATGTCATAGTGCCCCATATCTGCTTGACTAGTGACTGTAATTGTGGGCTGGTGGCAGCACTGAGTTTGGGCCCCTCAAATGAGAATTTAAGAAGAGTCTGGTGGAGGAAGCACTCAGATTTATGGACTTGTAGTGCTTGAGGTGGGGCTGGCAGGTCAGCCACAGGCAGGCACAGGGATCTCAGGCCTTACCCTCGGGCACAGAGTAAGCTAACTGCATGTGATAACAGCTAATAGCCATTCTCGTAAGATGGTGGGCAGCAACCAAAGGGAAGAAAACCTGCGGCTGTCCTGCATGTCCACGTGCATATAGAATCACTGAATAGCTAAGATTGGAAAAGACTTCTCAGATCATCTAGTCTAACCATCAGCATTTGGAAGAGGTTGGTTCTAGATGTCCACTCTGAGGCTCAGTGTGAGCTTGCGTTGTAATTAAATCAGCCAGCTCCATCCATGCAGATGGGCCAGCTCCGTCAACAGCAGTACTGGGTGGTGAGCCAGTTTTGTCCACTGCTTTTTCTGTATGCAGCAACTTAGATCAGATTGTCTATGGCCTAGCTCTTGGAGAAAGAAAATAATCTTTCAATTTCAAGTAAACTCTTGCACAGCCTTCTCCCTCCCACCCCTGCTATGGGCATGGAGCTGCTATTTGCCACTTCTTTGAATACTCTGGGGGAACGTATTGGCAAAGTTGGTTAACTGTACATAAAGTGCACATGCTGAAATGTTGTATGAAGCCTCGCCTGGCTCTGGAAGCGCTTTATACCAGGAAACCTTGGCTTCATACTACAAGCATTGCTGCTAGTGTACTGCCCAGGGCAAAAACAACTTGAAAAATCGTGGTAGGTCCTTCACTGCCCTTTCTCTGTAGCGTTTAGCCTTCCCATCAGGTGCTGTTAGTAGTTTATTTTCAAAAAATAGCCCATTAGTGAGGTGTTGATTACACTGTGCATTAAGACTTGATGAAAGATGCAGGAAACTGTTTGCAAAGGTGTTTCCTCAGAATTTAAAATTCCTGCTGAGCTTCACACACACTCCATATGCATCTGTAGGCAGCTGAAGAAACCCGCAGGAATGCAGTTATTTGGAAAGTTGAGCCGTTTGAAAAACAGCCATCAATACCATGTTGACAGTTATTTAGAATAAATAACAATTTAAAACAGTAGCCAGTTTTTAAAAATTCTGTAAGAATTCAGGCATGTAGGCATGTATCTTGAGAAACTTTGGCCTATTTAATTTAAAAGCCAAAGCAATCTCTAACC